TCTGTCTCTTTTATATAATTTTAAAGCATATTTATTAAATCTACAGCATGAAACAGATTGTCCCACAAAGAACTATCACCTTTCTATACCGCTGTCAGGATATTGTATTCTGGTAAAACCAACAGATTAATTAGCGAACTGGCAATTCATTCTCCAGCTATGGATCTTTTTCACCTCCTGGTAAGTTAATGAATCAGTACACATACATTTATCAGGGAACACCTGCTTTTAACTGAGACACTTATTATGATCAAAAAACCCAAGATCAAACCATGAAGACAATGCTGAAGGCTTTTTTTTTTCAAAGTTTTCCTCCCCGCAGCAGTATATTTTCAGTCTTTTCTGTAATAATTATGATGATCTTTTTCATGTGTAAATACACCGAGTTTTGATTTCAACTCAGAGCCACGGATCTCATAATTAAATAAAAATACACCATGTGTTTTTTAAATGCCCTACTTCTAAATATCCTGTCTGGGTGCCTGGGGGAGGAGCGGGTCAAGGAAGCTGTTCAACATCCTTTGCCTAGACATTTAATGAGAGAGGCAGCAGTCAGTGCAACGCTGTCACCTGAACACACCAGAGCTGCATCAAAAAATTAGAAGTTTTCAGCCACAGTTTTCAGTGCAGTGCTTTCTGGTGAAGAAAAACTGAACTGATGTCAGTTAGCACCATGGAGCCGATGAATTCATTGGACAGCCTGGGGGGGCAACTCTGGGCTGAAGAGAGCAAGCAGCTTGATTTTGCCCCCTGAAACACTGGTGTGAATGATCACAGCCCCTTTGCTTAGAGGTGAAGCCTGGCCAGCTTCTCAGCAGCTCCACGCTTCTTTAAAAGCCTGACTTTTGCACAAATACTTTGCTCTCCAACAGGCACAGCTCTAGCTGCCGCTGCGGGATCCTGCGCAGGCTGCAGCCAGACACACTGCCAGCACGGACTTACTGACCTGGTCACTGCATGGCTCTGGGCATTTTGAAGTCATTGTTAAATGGGGTTGGGAGGCAGGGACAACAGCTGCCTCTGATTGAGAAGCATTACAACTTCCTATTTTAATCAAATATTTTTATGAGGACAGCAACAAAAGAACACATCTGTCTGCCAGAAAATTAGCGAAGTGCAGATAACAGGGTATAAAAATCAGAGAAAATGCAGTGAGCTTCGGATTTGCTGAAGTCCTTCTCTATCGAAGGATCATTTAATGCCTTACGCAGGTAAGAAATCAGCCAGACGCTCGAGCTGGAGGCACACAACAGAAACACTCACCAGCCGTATATGCAGCACTGCAGAGTATGTGATAGTAAGAAACCAATTACAGATGGATATATCTATACTGCACTGTATGTCTGAAACTAGACTGATGTCTCATCTCCCGTCTTCTACACAGCTACCAGAAATTGGCACCTTTTCATACAGTTTGAATATCATCAGCTGTAAAACACTGAATTGGTTGTCAATGGTTAGAGGCAAAGATTGTTGAAGGACTTCATTCAACCTAGGACTACAAGTGACCTATGGTTTCTGCAGCCTGTTTTCTCCATCCAGGACTTGCAGTGTGCCCTGGCAGCCAGGAGGGCCAACTGTGTCCTGGGGTGCATCAAGCACGGCATCGCTAGCAGGTCGAGGGAGGTGATTGTCCCGCTCTACTCTGCGCTGGTGCGGCCTCACCTCGAGTACTGTGTGCAGTTCTGGGCACCACAGTATAAAAAGGACATGAAACTGTTGGAGAGTGTCCAGAGGAGGGCTACGAAGATGGTGAAAGGCCTGGAGGGGAAGACGTACGAGGAACGGCTGAGGGCACTGGGCCTGTTCAGCCTGGAGAAGAGGAGGCTGAGGGGAGACCTCATCGCAGTCTACAACTTCCTCGTAAGGGGGTGTCGAGAGGCAGGAGACCTTTTCTCCATTAACACCAGCGACAGGACCCGCGGGAACGGAGTTAAGCTGAGGCAGGGGAAGTTTAGGCTGGACATCAGGAAGGGGTTCTTCACAGAGAGAGTGGTTGCACACTGGAACAGGCTCCCCAGGGAAGTGGTCACTGCACCGAGCCTGACTGAATTTAAGAAGAGATTGGACTGTGCACTTAGTCACATGGTCTGAACTTGGGTAGACCTGTGCGGTGTCAAGAGTTGGACTTGATGATCCTTAAGGGTCCCTTCCAACTCAGGATATTCTATGATTCTATGACTTCTAACACTTTATAATCCTGCTCGAACTTCTCTCACTTTGAAGAATCTGATGCTGAACTTGCAGAAAAACCCTCAAACTTACCACGCACAGGTATGGCACGGTAGAAGCACACTGAAACATGCTGGATTCAACACAAGGTATTTAGGTACTAGTGGCTGACTGAGAGCTTTTCTGACCCCAAACGTACTGACACACTGAATCTGCAGCTCTAGGCAGGCAGAGCCTAATTTACACTAACGTGGTGCTCAGCTTCTCGTAAATAAACTGTCATGAAATAGACCCTCTTACCATTTCCTATACAAGGAAAAAAATACAACCACTACCCACATAATCTTGTTTTGAAATACAATCTAAGATTTTATTTTTCAATAGGAAAAAAAAATCTAAATGAAATTTAAACCTAAGACAAACACATCTCCCTGGGCCCTTTCTGACAGGTCAGCCAAAACAGCTGTTTTTTGACTTTTAATCCCATATCATGTCTTGAATTTTTCTGGAGACACAAATACCTCCCCAGGATGGGAAAACCATTTCCCGTCCTGCTCTGGCTTCCAAGAATGGCTTTCCTGGATTAGGACAACGAGTCTAACAGATAACTGGCTACGCATGGTCTATTTGAGTTGAAAGAGTGCCCACCGACTATCAGTGGGAGGAAAATTCAGAACTGTTACCTCCATCCATATGCTATCCAGAAAGTCCAGATAACTGCTATGAAACTGGCTGTCTGAATCCTGGCAGAAAAGAAAGAAGAAGAAAAAAAAAAGCAAGCAAGCTTTTGCTGTTGCTGTGAAGGTGGCTCCGAGATGCCAAACAGTCGATGCCTGCCAAAGCACAGAGAATAAAGTGTTGCAACTGTCCTACCTGATTGATCATGCAGCTCTTTCAAAGCTGCTCCTGAGTCACTTCTACATCACAGCCCTAATAGAGAAGCTTTCCGCAGTACCCACTTCCATCAAGCATATAAATAAACGTGACAAGGTTTTAGAAGCAACCTGTTAGCGCTGTCCTTGCATTAAGCAGCCTATCATGAAGAAATGGCCCAAAGCTTTTAAAGATGAACTAAGAAGTGCCCCCTTGGAAGGACTACACCGTTCAAATGCAAGAATTTAATTCCTGCTTAGTGATGTTCACAACACAGCGTGTTTAAGCATGAATTTAAAGAGGCCTTTGGTTTGCAGCTACACCATTTCCCCTCAGTCCCCCAGCAAAAGCTGGGGATGGAGGCTTCATCACGAGGGACTGAAAACCTCTGAATTCTTTTACATGGCTCTAGCAGCAAAAAGGAAAAAGAAACAAATTAAGAAGCTTTGTAATAGGTGCCTAGTCTTTCAGCTTTAACAAGTCTTATATTTACCAGCCTTTGTGCTCCAGCACTGCATTTCAGTGGGGACAAGACTCGGGAAGACTTGCTCCCACCAGCTGCAGAGCAGCAATGAAAGCAGAGCCACAAGCCAGTGCCCTAACCCCCAGCTTTGCCTCATGCCCAGAAGGGGAGGCTGCCTCGCTGCGTGGTGTGATTGACCATGTAGGTAATCACCCGCGTGCACTCTGCACCGAGCTCTGATGGACAGGCAGGTACCAGGACGTCAGGGAGCAGCTGATACAGTACATTATTAGAGTACAGCCCCGTGCTGCCATCCAAAAGCATGCAGGTATGTGCATGATCAATGTGCTCGTCACCTGAAGCTGTTTTGATTCCCGTCTTGAAGACGCACTTTGATCACCCTAGTAGAAGAGCTGACCTTACGAGAAAACAAGAACAGAAGCTGCTACGAAAGACCGCCACAGGCACACAAAAGCTTCCTGCGAAGCAGCGTTACTCATAGCCAGCTGCTGCTGCTGAGCATCAGCACTCCCATCAGCTCGTGAGTCAGCAGCACCTGCTCCCCATCACCTTCCTGGAGGATGCACAGCTCAGTGCCACGCTCAGCAGCCCTCCTAAGCATGCAGCCGCCTGCAGTGGGACCCAGCCCACAGGATGTGGACTGCATGGGAGCCAGCAGGCACTGGTAGGCAGGAGCACACCTCGTGTTAATTGCATTCATTTTGCTTGTGTGCGGGAGAAACTGGACAGCTATCTTATGAGTGCATTTTGTCTAAGCAGAATCGGATTTGAGCAGAATTAATAAAGAAAATTTTGAGAATACCTTAGGAATCTTATTTTTTTTTTGGAGGACTCTATAGGTGGTACTTCAATCTCTGTGTAATCCTGAACCACTGTTTCAATTTAAGTACATCTCTATGAAGGTATGTACACAGAAACCTCATAGATAACACTTCTATTAAATGCAGAATTTTCTCTTATTCTGTCTGAAAAGAAACTTGCAATGCTACTGCACCTGATGACCATCTGAAAAAAAAGGAATAATTTAAGATTCCCAAGTAGGATTTCCACACAATAATAAATCACGTGCATACAGCAATTCTTAAAGAGTGTTCTACTTAATAGAAGCAGCAGCTGCAATTTCCATAGATGTGAAAATTCTTGACAGGTAACAGGTTTTCCATACTTTCTGAGCACCTCCAGTGTTAAGTAATTTACCATCCATCCAGTAAAGTTATGATTAGCCTAATGTCCTGTTGCTTATTAATTATCAGCTCTACAAGACATTTAAGTGGAAAAGAAATGCCTAACGAGCTGCTTCCTGCCATCCTGCTTATTTGCTGTGACAAATGCTTGCAGAGTTTGCAACAACTGCATTTGGAAAACTGGGTGGGATTCCCAAAAGCATTGTTGTTCGAAACTGCAGAACTGCATTTAAGATGGGGATATTTGTTGTGGCAGTGTGCATTCCTCCTTCTCTGCAGAAGTGGGACGGTCCAAGGAGGTGGCTTTAGGTGACTGAAGGAATCCCTCCTGCCCCTACCAAGGTTAAGTCCTAGTCTACACCACAACAACCAAGCTGCAGACCAAACCTCAAACGAAAGTAATTCTGCCTTTTAACGTGAACTGACTGCACTGGGCTTTGATGTATTTCACAGCAGAAATACTGATTTTGAAGTCTTTTAACTGACCTCATAGTCACCTGCTTATTTTGGAGACCGGGGTTTTAGGCAGAGTCCAGACCCCACTGAAAACTGTGGGAATCTTTCCCATTCCCATCATTCAACCTTGTAATTTTGGGCACAGTTGCATGACATAGGTATCTACCTCTTTGACCTGCACACAGTCAGATACCTGTGTATTCAGTTTGACCTAGACTACACCAACTTTATAACTTTAAAGCCAACTTTGCACTCAGGTAAATACTGCCCTCTTAGCTCTATCTGTTTCAAATTTGCCCTGCACAAAGTAAATGCTGCAAGGAAGGAATCCAGCACGGCCCTTGGAGCCAGGCAATCCACATCACCTTTCATCACCAAGGGGCAGAAGCTTCCCCACGCCTCATTGCTTTCTCTTCTGTGAAATTAAAAGTAAAAAATATCCATTTCAGTGGATACTGCATGAATTTCTGCACCAGCTACACGTTTTATGTTCTTTACGCAGAGAGTGAATGGAAACGTGAGACATAAACATCATGCTACAGTCAGTCACATACATGTGGGTCCACACGCAGATCGCTGGTACTGGAAGACCTCCCAAGGTACCTTTGTTCCTGCTCAGTTTGACAGCTCAAATTTGATTTCTGTTCTGGATCTCTTTCTAGAGGAGAAAATGGCAACGATCACAGAATGTTGATAATGTGCACAATAAAAAGCAGACCTCACTATCATCCTCATTTCATTGGCAGTATATTGGCATTTTGACGTGCCCTGTTGACAACACCAGTTTGTAGACCAGCCCTGGATGTCTCCTTTTTCATTTAAGAGGTTCAGCATGTGCTGCCAGGCATGCAGCGGCTCCCTCATTGTCCCAGTGAGGGCTTCAAAACTTCTCATTTCTAAGGTTTATAAAACTTATTTCCTGGAGCATGCAGAACCCTTGGACATCAGCAGGAACTAGAGAAGACTAAAACTGTCTCTATTCTCTTTCTGTGCCTCATTAAGTGCAGTGGGATTTGAATATGGGGAACCACACACTGAAGATGACAAACAGATTTTCCTATTATCTAAGAAGCCGTTCTTTCACAGATGCAGCCTTTATTTGACAAGCGCTCTGCTGAGCCTAAGATCAAGCACAGCAGACCAGAGTTGACTTCTGATTAAACTCAACAGCTTTTCTTGATTCATGTAGGACTTGACTCCAAGCATAGACATCTGGCACAAACTTTGGATGCTAGGATGTCATATTTACTTACTTCTTCCCTTTGAATACACACAGATACATGCATATGGAAGTGGCACGAGATAATTTTGTTAAAACCCCATTTATTTATTTAGCGCACTCACTTCCCGCCGTTCATTATTGCTGCCTGAAGTACTTCATCTCACAGAGAACGTTATTAGGACCCAACGACACAGCATATGGCCACGTTTGCTGTTCTGCATACAGGCTGCTTTGACAAAAGAGCAGGATCGTCACAAGATATAAAAAGCACAGGAGAGAAGGACTGCTGGTGTGCAGGTACGATAATTTGTGTGTTGTTTTTCTTTATATTCATCCTATGCAGAGCCTTTTGTTCAGAATGACTACATCTACTCACTGTGTATGCCTTTTTTTTCTGTTAATTGTCCACTTTATGTCCCAGTGGATGTTGATGTGTGTTCTTTCACATGTAGCCAACATCACTCCCATCAGTATTATCTGAGTGTACTTCAGGAGCGTGCTTGTGCCATTACTGTATCGTGCATTTCCTTATACTATGGCTTTGCAACAAAAGCCAAGGGATGAATGCAGGGTAGTCTCCATCTTACATAAAAGATGAAGAGAAAAAACACATAGGCCTAATTTTTCTTGTTCTTTATGAGCCTATTTTCTGTCACTGTTGTACATAGTTCCCTATAGCTTGGAGATAGGGTCTCATGAGAATCAACAGGCTATATGATCAGCAAAAGCTTGTGTTGTACTACGTATATACCACTTTAACTGTAAAACTCAAAGAGGATGGAGCTTTAGACTAGAATCAGAGAATCTGATTTCCACCTGGGGCTTTGCTACAGCCTTGATAGGCAACACAAGACAAATCAGTTCACCTCTGTGTGAAGTCTGCTGAAAGCAGGACTTCTCTGCAGGAGTGTAGAAGAACAGGAAGTTTATGTAAGTAACATCTGCAAAATGCAGAAAGATAATGGGCTGAAGGCTCCCACACTTCCAAATAAATAAAGGTGATGACCAGAGCCCAACTTCATTAAATATTTTCTCTTCTCTTCACATGAAATGACCAGACTGAATACCCTGAAACATTTCTGGCAGAACAAAACTGTTATAACAAAAAAACAACAACCAAACAAAAAACCCTTAAAATAGCACTAGAAATCAACTAAAAATGATGTAACTAGGAAAGAGAGAACTTAACATTGCCCACAGAAAGAGCTACATTTCCCACGCAGCCTCCACAAGTCCATCTAAGAGCTCCTCATGTGGTTACTCCCACCTTCAGAGTTGTTTTTTTTTTTTCTTTCTTTCTTGAGTTGGAAATCAGCTCCAAGACAGAGGTGAAGTGAAATAGTAATGCTGAACTTCTAACTGGAGCTATCAGAATCAAAATTCCTATCTTGTGAAAAGTCGTTTTGTGTTTAAAAAAGTTCCAGATCCTGGAGTTACATTAAAAAAAAATCAGCTTTTCATTCAAACTATTGTTTGTACTCAGCCTTCATATTCATGGACATCTACCTGAAACACAATTAGATTTCAGTCAAGAGCCAAGAAAACTATTTAGAATATGAAAATGAAACAAAGTTTTAAAATTATTTTTAAGACTTTGCTTATTTATTTAGTTTTGTGATTAGATTTCTGATATTTTTATATTCTCAATGGTGAATATCAAAATAGTGAAACCAGTTCACAGTCTACTCTAAATCAAGAGTGTCTTTATCTGTGGCCAAGTTATTTCTTTTGCGACATTTTCCCCTTACCATTTAATAGTGCATGCTCTCAGACAAGGAAGTGAAGGTAGATGAGGACTCCCTCAGCCCTGAAAATAAGGCCTGCAACTTTTATATTTATTTTGGACAACCACCCTGAAAATTCAAGGTAACTAATTTGGAAAACAAAACAAAAAAGGAGGGCTGCTCTGCAGGAAAACCAGACCAATACATTTAGCAGGCACAACATTTGTTCAACAACAACAAATGAGGAAGGAGAATATTATCATTTTGTTTTACATCACATCATGTTTCCAGTTGAACGTATAATTAGCTACAACTCATTCAGATTTGGCCTTTACTGGATTTAATAAACTATGATGTTCCCCACTGCCCTTTAACAAAACTGCATGGCAACAAGTAATGGAGGTAACGAGGGACATCAGGAAAATAGTACTAGACAAGCTGATGAACGCATCTGCATATCACAATGTGGGCACTTTTCCTCAATGCCTGATTTTGCTCAGGTAGAGAAGAACCGGGAGATGTGCTCAGTGTTATTGGAAAGCCATTGCCAAGTATTATAAAAATAAGACAATGAAGTTTTGGCTCACTAATACAGTTCACATCCAAAAATCAAATGCTAGGGAAGCGAGGGTTGCAGCGGGGTCGACTGCCACACCTGAGCTGGCGGAGAAGCACTGGGGCAGCAGTGGCTGCTGCCGAAGCTCCAGTCCTGCTAAGTGCTGTGGCCACCTGCCCATAGCTGCCTGCCAAATGTGTGCTGCTACTAATTATAACTAGTTCAAATATGAATGAGTAAAGAGAAGCAGGGAGCCCATTATTACAGAGAAACACTACAAAGCTCAGCCTTATTTTACCTACATGAAAGACAGATTTTTGTCACTTGATAGCAGCATGAGCAGAATCCCACTAATTTCCTTGTAGCAAAAGCAGTGATTCTCAGCAGCAAAACTCCCGCAGCTCCTGCTCTGTCTCAGAATAGATTTATTAGTTGGCTTCCATACCTGAAGCCTCCTAGTCCTTGCTTTATTATTGTCTGTATAATTTGGGTTCAGCACCATGAATTTGCTGTCTTTGGTCTGTTTTGCCTAGTAACTTGCAGAATTCAGCCATAAATAAGTAACTCTTTGCACCCGGAGTTTTATGGATCCAACTCTTCCCCTTAGGTGCCAGTCACTAAAACACATGTTACTGCTTCCAGGTATTCAATTTCTCCTTGTCTGTATCTTCTGTGGTTTGAATCTCATTTGAAGGTGACAGTGCCAGTCCCTATCTAACTACAGACAGAGAAGGGAGAGACAAGAGACTCAATGTGCTGTGTGCACATTGTCAATACATGTCTTTGTTTGCCTTTCTACAAAGAAAGAGCGATTTCTACAAGGCTCATTTCCTCCATCAGACTCAGAACAGCCCTTGCAACCCTTGCAATTGTGTCTGGTAGGCAAGACACCAAGACAGCATCTCTCCCAGGAACAAAGGACTTCTCAAAGAAACGTTCCTGGGACAGCATCACTCACTGCAGTCAGTCCTACAACACCTCCGTTTCTCTGCTTGCTCTTGGCACCTGACTTGAGATGGCCATCGTGAGCTGGCGCTGCCTGTTGTAACAGCACCTCCGTTTAGCTCATTCCTCTCTCTCTTGCAACTTCTTACAGCTACTTCAGCCCCAAGAGCAAATCTTCACAAGCCCAGGATGCAAAAACAATGCGTACTGCTTGTTTTCTTGCCCAGAACCCTGTCTGTACAAGCAGCCCCAGGAATACGTGCCAATGCTGATCAATACACATCAATGAAACGACCCATTTCATTAGCAGCAGAGCTCTGGAGGCAGCCTCTCTCACTGCAAGCTGGCTGGGTGCCACGATGAGCTGCTTTCAATCTCACCTTCTGCAACTTGCTGCATAACTGGCAGACAACAGATGAGAATTCAGGTAGACTGTGTTAATTCCATCATTAATTTTACTGAAAGAAAGGCAACGTGGGAAATAAAACACTTCCTCAATTTCTCCTCTTGAACATGTGGAATTCAAGTCAAAAGCTGGAAGGTTTTGTAGCATACGACACCATATAACTCCCAACAATGACGACGAGCAACACTGACAATAAGGCTCTGGCAACTTGGGATATCGCTGTATTGGCTGAAACCTAAAAGCACCAGGCTTTGGACCTGACATTGCTCAGCCCACACCATGTCTGAGGCTACAGCCAGCGTAACTAGAAGCTGAGCACACTCTGCTTCTCTGCTTCCATCTGCCTAAGTCCCAGGTGCAGAAGCCAAAGCCGTAACTCATGAGGTTTACCGCTGACCTGTCATTTGGATGACTGCTCCAAGCAACGAGTACCAGATAATGAAAAATTGTGGGGAGAAACAGGGATTTATAGAACCAAGTGAACGTGCAAAAACGAGCTTGAGCAATTACGGTTTAACGAGGCTGTCACTGACCAGAATCAATCAGCAGCAGTCAGAAGAGTGAACTTGTACCAGGCTAATCAGAAGTGACAAAAGAAACTTGCTTTGGAAAGGACTCCTGGAACAGGTCACCCTTGACAGCCATGAGCAAAAGCCTACAAAGGCACCGCGTTTTGCTGCATGCCAATGGCATGCTCAGACGTCAGCACCACAATCTGCACGGATAATTCCCGGCTTGAAAGAACTCTCCAGCTCTGCAGCCCTGCAGGACTTGCGCTCAGTTCTGGACCTGCTGCTGCTTCAATGCTAGCCTGGTGTAGGGAGGCCTGAGATCTGTGATGGTTGCTGTTAACAAACAGCCATTTCAGTGAGCTGCTTTCACTTCTCTGCAGAAGCAAAATCATAGCCTTCTGTGATTGAAAACAGAGTAAGGAAGATGCACTATATGCATCTCAGTAGCCAAGGGTACAAATGAAACTGGGCTGGTACACAGTTAATGCCAAAGATGATTAAAAAATAGGCAGAGAAGATGTCAAAGAGCAAGAGAGGAAAACGGAGAAGGAAAGACCTGCAGGATGAGTGGATAAGGAAATGTCAAAACAGAAATTCTGGGGACAGCATGTGAGAAAATAGTATGTGCAAAGGGGAAAGGAAAATGAGCATGGAAGTAGAAAAAGAGACACAATAAAAATGAACTAAAAAACAAAACAGCAAATATTTGGCAAGCACAGAGTGGAACGCCGAGCTGTCTGTCAGCATCCCTACGCTGCACCTCAGATACCAAGGATTTCAGCCTGGCTGCCTCTGCATCTCGTTTGCAGTGTTCTGTTGCATTTGTTAAGATAAAGCTAATCCTCTCTGTATTGTTCCCATTTGAAACTGGAAGCAACTTTTTAAAATGTTGAACAATACAGTAGAAGAGAGATAAGCTGCTTTATCTGCCACACTCAGCCGCAAGCCTCACCCACAGACAGCTAAACCTACATTTCACTGTTACAGCGGTTCAAGTAAATCTAAAAGCTAAACTGAAATCTGAGAAACTGAAAATCTATCACAGTACCAGCGAGCAGGAAAACAGATGAGGATGAGAAGCAAGCTGGAGATTTTCCAATCTACTGCAGACTGCTGGCTCTTCCAGGCTGTTACACAGAGAGAGGTTCTGCAACAACAGTTTTTTCACCTGTGATTCATTTTAAACAATAGATCTGATCCTGAGTAAGTGTTACTTATCTAGTTCATGCTGGATGTTCCTGACACAGTGCATTAGAGTGAGTTTAAAAAAATATAAAAAATAAAAATCACTTTCAAAAGGAGCGGATTTACTTCTAAAGTGACTCCTCTGATCAGCTCTGCTCACAGCGCTTTGATTTGCGTCACGCAGCCATCATGACCTGCCTGAATTGATTCCTGTCAGCTGAAATTAAAACCTTAAAATGCTGCCCAACAAACCCAGTCTGAAGCAACCTCTTCTCTTCATGAAACGCACTGTGTGTAGATGGGTAGGTGTAGGCTAGGACTTGGACTAATTCAGGTCAGAAGGGACCTCTGGAAGTCATCTGCTCCCATCCCCTGGCTGAAGCAGCACTGACCTAGGTTGCTCAGGGCTTTGTCCAGCTGAGCTCTCCAACCTCTCTGGCCAATCTGTTAATCTGTTTTGGTTTTTAAATATCCTCATTCCAAAAGCTTTTTTTTTTTTTAACGTAATATTTAATTGGATTTTCCATGTTGCAGTTTTGTTGACTCTGGTCCTGTCTTCTCCATACCCTTGAGTAGCTGAAGAGAGCAAAAAGATCCCCTTCACCCTTCCCTGCTTAAAGCACAAATTTTTAATGTGCACCTAAGCTGCAGTACCGACTCTGAGGCTGTGACGCCAGGCAACATTCTCCTTTTGCTTGTCACAAGCATTTTGCAATCAGCTGGCCCTCAGCACCGGCCGTGCAGCTCTGCTCTGGCTTATGCAGATGCATCCTGCACCTCGCCGGTCTGCGTGCGGTGAGCACAAGGCCAGGCTGCCTGCGAGTGCTGCAGCGCGCTCAGACAGGTAATTTTAGGGCTTGGCTACGAGCCATAAGAAGCTTAATTGCATTAGCCCAGATAAGTCATTCAGCAAAACCATTTCAACAGAGAGGGCCAACAAGCAGACCCTTGGCTACAAACTCATCCCTTCAGTACTGGATCTGGATTGGAATTAAGAAGAAGGAAAAAGCTGCAGCTCTTACGGACCTCAGTGTGAACAGGCTGCTGTTTAGGTGGCTGGAGGGATTGTGCCACTGTGTCACGGTCCTCCTCAACCTCAACACTAATGCAAAGCTAACGTGATACAGTCCTGACTCATCTCTGCTTTTGTATATATTTAAAATCTCAGTTGCTCCCAGCAGCAACTAATTATTTATTAATCCTGCCATAGTAGATGCTGTGAGGGATTTACAGTAATTAATACAAGCTAATCTGCTTTCTGCTCTGAACGTGAAATAATGAAGCAGTGACTGACCCCAAGCTCCAGAGCTGCAAACACAAGGCTGAGGCCTGTGCCACCTTTTCCCTGGTGCTCAGGAAATGTACCAGCAGTGTGCAGGACAGTACCTTAAAACAATTGTCTCCCCTGTTTTAAACCAACAGAAAGTGGACAATTGCATCCGTCACCTCTACATCCGTCACCTAAATCTTTCAATTTATTTCTGTCACTCTTTGTGGGATGAAAGGTATGTCAGTGTAGCTCATGATCATGGGCCGGGGTGACTATTTATATTACAATCCATTCCATTGCTAATACTTTACAATCCCTATCGTGGATTTGTTTGCCTGTGCAATAAAGGTAGGAGATTCACAGTGCTGGCTGTATTTACAAGGTACTCTGTACTGATGAGCATCATGAGCAGAGGGAGATATGAGAAAAAATACCTGTAAATCAGGTCTGAATCAGTTCAACTTTGCATCATGCCATTCATCACGTATTCCCTTCTTAGATGCACTCATGATTAGCAAGACAAGAAACAGTAAAAAGAAACCCTTCTTTCCCTACTTGACCCAACAGACGTATCCTTGCTTAACATACCCTTGTGCTTCTCCGCTGACACCAGCCCAGCATTTCCAAAGAGCGAGATGCTACACACATGCTAGGGTACCAAGTGCCCCCTTCCAAATCACTGAGCCATTTTTCCTACACAATGGAAAGGTAACTGCAGAGCAGTTAGGCTCATCTTAATGAAGAGCAGCTGGAAACACTGGCCAGCATAATTAGTAAAAGAATGCAGCAAATATTTAGATAATGAAATCTACAAACAACCTCTGTGATGACAAAGGTAAGAGTGATAAGCAGCCATGATTTAAAACAAACTAATTATTTCAGATAAATCTATTCTCTTTCTGGATAAAGAACATAGGAAATTTACTAAATCTGGTAATGAGTAAAACATAGTGGGATGGAGTGCAGCTGCAGAAATGTCAAACTATCCTCACAAGGTTATCCTTGACATTCCGGGAGAAATGCAAACAACAGAAACTTGGAAGAAGAATTCCTAAGTGTCCTTAAAGAAGTATAATTAGTTACTGCAGGTCAAAACTATACTAAATAGCATGATGGTGATGAGAGCAAAAAGAAAGCTGATTTTGCCTCTTGCACTTTGCCATTAAGTAAAAGAAATAAATGATAGGCACCCCAAAATTCAGATGCAAATATGGTATTCTAGAGCAATGCTAATGCAGTAATGATTATATTGTTATGCAAAGCTGTACAATTTATTTTTGCTTCTTCTTTTAAACTATAGAATGAAATCTCATTCTTCAATGTAAATTCTCCTTCATCTCAAATTCAATTTCATTTATGCATTTTAACTTGAATTGCCAGGAAAAAATACAGATTTTTCACATATTAACTCTTTTAAATGATGCAACAGTAACTGCTGCCCTCTTTAAAAGCAGAAAACAAAAACAAAACAAAAAAACTGCAACAACAAAAAAACAACTACAGAACATAATTTTCACTGTTTTCTTTTTTTTTTTTTCATACAGAACAGGACTGCAAATTTGAAGACACTGAAAGCACAGCTTCAGTGAACGACTTCCACATATGTGCTCTCTTGTTTAACATACATTTAGCATGGTGACAAAAAAAAATAAAAAAAACATTTACCCCCCTCCTAGCAAGTTTTTTTCTGCTCAACAAGGAAAGAGTACTTGAAGTTGAAACCACAGTGGGGAGTGGTTTCAATGGCTTTAGGTTCTGCTGTTGACCCTCTGTACATGTATGTCTGAGAGATATTCCATATGGAAACAAAATATTAAAAAGAAAAACAAATAAGCCTTTTGTAATTATTTCAATTGGAAACTCATATTCTGAAGAAAACTACTGTATGTTTGCAAGTCCAGGAAGAGGAAAAAAAAGTTGCTGCATTACAATGGACATCTATTTCTGGTATAGCTATAGGGCTTTTTCAATATTGCTCCAAAAGTCAGAAGAGATCTTTGTTTTACAAGAAAAATATATTTGCCCTCTGTCCTAAGCGACAAAGGTGACGATATTTCTAATGCAACATTTGAAGATGTGTTTTGTTTAGCAGAAAAAAATCACCCAAGACAAGAGATCCCCCAAATTCAAACTCACCTGCCCCTCAATCACTCACACCTAATATTTCAGAGCTATTTTCCACTTGCCACAATACAGGTTGTCTAAGACATATCAGTTACTTATGTTTCTTCACTCTTATGGGAGCATCAAACTCGGTTAGGATAAAAAGCTCCATACCATGTCTCCAGCAAATTATTTTTTCCTCCTTTTTCAATGGAAAAATGCAATGGCACTAGAACTAGAATTAAGAAAAAGCCAGACAAACAGCTTACATTTATGATCTGGATGCCAAACAATGTCTGTGCTCCACTTGAAAAATTAAAGAATGGCAAGGCTTTCTACTCAGCAGCACTGACCAGGAGTATGCCATTCTGTGGTAACTCTGGCACTTGAAACTCAGTACTCCTTCTTTTGGAATTTTGGCATTGCTTTTCTACACAGGCAAGCTGTAAGAACCACTAAAATTAAAAACACCACAACAAAATGATTATTTTAAGAAACTGAAAACACTAGCAAGACAAATTAAGAGATAAAAGCTAATTACTGTCATAAAGGGGAAAGATGAAATTCTGGAGCATACCCATAAAATTTCACATAAGTTATGTGGAAGCACTGAGAATCACAGCAAATTCTGCCACCAGCCACTACTAATTATGAGATCTGGAGAGCACTGATAAGGCAGGAGGTTAGACCTACCAAAAGAAACCAAATACAAAAATTACAAAATACAAAACCAATGTTAACTCATCAAAGTCAAGACAAGATATTTGTGAGAAAGTTTTCTCACATCTTGTAAAAACATTTAGCATATTAATCCCCTTTTTCTCTGTTTGAAAACTCAAGCATTAGGAAATTCATCAGACAATATTCAAGGCAAACTTCTACCTGACTTGAGCAAACAAGAGGTCTCAGACACTTGATCAACTTTTAAAGGCTCCTGTGTATAAATTATTGTGTGATAATTACCTCACAAGTACTCTTTACTCACTGTGAAAGAACAGTTTCTCTCTTGGTTTCCTCAATTTATGGTTAGTAAAAGGAAAAATGGCAGAGCCATTTCCCTTCAAGATTTATTGTATTTAAAGACACACATATCTATTTGGATTGCAGCGTTAAAACTCAATGTCTATTTAATACTCTGTATTTACCTGCAAAACTGTAACTTAATATTGATCTGGTGAAAAGGTATGTTTTCAGCTCATTTTAATGACACAAACACAGTAATGAACATGTGAGCACACCTACTCTAGGTTATTAAGACTGATGCCAACAATGGCATAAGAAAACTTGTTTCTAATCTGCTCAGGGTAAGCTGAAATACTCCGTCAGGCACTCTTTGCAATAGCTCAGGGACTGTGATTAAAACTTCTTCAAAACCAAGCGCCTGACTACACTCATAAATTACACCTGTTTTACCTGATTACCTGAAATTAGCCGAAGGTAAAATGATGCCAGGCAAGCGTTTATCCTTATGCTTTAGTCAACTGGAAGACAGTTACATCCAAACCAATTCTGTGTGGGTAGACATCCCAATGAATTTGCTTGTAATTACTCCAGCATAACAGGAGGCAGACTGTATCTCCAAGGTTTATAATGAAATAAACACTGCATTTCCACAGCATGGGTAGGTAATAACCTGAACACGTGGGCATACCTGAAAGCATCCAGTAAGAATGGTAAGAGGCCTGGAGGCAGCACAGAAGAAAGACTGATGAAAAACTATATGGAAAAAATGATGGGGGAGCAGTCAAATCTGTAAAAGACTACAGGGCTTTGATAGCACCTTATTCGAGTACCTGTCTGAAGTTACACAGCCATAGCATGCACATGCTGCCTGGGGGCAGCAGATAGCAGGGAGCCTGCTTGAAGGCCCTGCCCAGGCCTACCTACCAACTCCACCTGTGAAGCACAGAGAGCACACGCAGTTATAACCACCCACTCAATGCACATTTTCAATTACATTTTCTGGTACGTGATGGGGTGTCGGTATTCAGCTCAGTTCTACTTCTCCTTGCCTGACACATTCACATACAACAAGGAAAAAAATAACACACATTCAATCTGAGGAGTCACAGACTAATAAATCTTCCATCTGTATCCAGCAAACTAGCGAAATGATCCTATTGCTTCACTGTTTTCCACGTTTTCAATGATTAGGGGGTGCATAGTTTTCATATAGGAAATTTATTGTACCTATTACAACTACAAGACCACGAATGAAAGAAACCCAATTAGCATTCATCATACAGGCTTCCAAAAGTCTTTTAATAAGGTCATTCGCAAAGAAGGAGATTAAGTACACTCAGTAGCCCAGTAGAAAAACAAAATATTTTGAAAACAGAAGAACTATCCCGAGACAGAATGCAAAGAGGGAAGATAACTCTGTTCTATAAAAACTAGCAAGTTGGGGTCTTGGAGATTTCCCATTAATGCTGTTTGCATTAATAAATCTGAAATTTATGGAGGGGTGAGATAGATCTGAGAATCTAAGGAGGGGTGTGATACAGTCGCCATAAAGTTACCAGCTTCTTCATGGGGCCAGTAAAGGACTCATGATGATATTTCTTATGTAGCGGAGGAACCTACTCAAGTTCCCTACAAGAGTATGGGAAACTAATGCAAAGCACTAACATCATCTTCACCAGATACTGTGCCAATCCAGTGCTCAACAGAGTTAAAAATCTGAGTTTGCTGTATGCAGTTCACATGAGAATCCTTCCTGCTCCTGTAATATCAATAGACATTCAGTAACACCTTTGTGAATGCAATTTATCATACTGAAATCTCCTTTTGTGCTTCTTAAATCCCATTACTGATTTACTTCCTCCTGAATACATTATCCAAAAAATAATGCTAGTAGTGCCAAATACATCACCTCATTAATCATTTGTATGCTACTCAGTTTCCTCAGGCAGTTGTCTGTTCTTCAATGCCCTCAAACTACTCTTATTCTCCTATATAAGATACATGCAGGGTGATCTTGGGATTAGGGATGAGGAAAAGCAAAAACCCCAAACCACGATATCCTAAATGGTCACCAATTTGTGACAGTTATTGCAGAGAACTATTGCTGTCAGTCTGTCAGCTGCCAAGAATGATAGGCCACCCATCACACATCCTCTCGCCTGGACTGAATTCTCATGTCTTACAATGACCACCGAGTAACATCCGATATTGTTAAAAGGAATGATCTCATGAAGAATTAACAGAAATAAAAGTAATCACAAAAATAGCCAAGCACTGATTTTTTTTTTCCTTAAAAAGACCATAATAAAAGGATATAAGAGGATTAAAATATGAACAAAAGAACAAAATAAGGTCAATGTGCCTGCTCTCATGCCCTGCAAGAACACAAAACTTCACTAATATCTTACAGTATTTCAGTGAAATGTTAAGTGTTGATGAAGTCAAATTCATTTATGCTTTTCTGGAGCTAGCTCTACTGATAATAATGATAATAAAGGCTCACCCCATTGTCGGTTTATTGTTTGTTTACTTGTGGTTTTCTGCTTGTTTGTTTTTTGAGGGAAACAACATATTGAAAAGGCTATTGCCAGTGAGTATTTGAGATGCCTGAATATAGTTTGGGTTTTATTCCACATGACACTATGGAAAAAGACATATTTTCTGATCCTTTCTAAGGCTTTATCCTTCATGATATTTCACTTCAAAATGGTGGAAATACCAGAGAAACAAGTTACCCTACATGTGATACATGAGTATTTTTTAGTTTAGAAATAAAGTAAAAGAGCACAAGCTCAGGGGAAGCACAGCCAGAGTAGCTGGGCTGTACATCCTTTGATAGACCTTCATCAGACTTCATTAAACTGTAGCAGAGCCTGCTGTATTCTGCAACCTCCAGTCTGCTGACATTTCTTGTAGATTATCAATTTCAGCAGGAATTGGAGAAGCTTTGAGGCTGCTCTAACCTCTACTTGTAATGACAAAGTTGCCTTCATCACTGGAGAGTCCAAAGAGCCGTTTCTCTCTTGTCCTCGTAACATCATTTGAGAGAATCAGCTTTGACATGAAAACACACAATCTATTTCCAGTTGAGAACTCTGACTGTCGAAAACAGCCTTCTCAGGCTGGGTAATTTTCTCTAGGTGACATTAACAATGATGACAAAAGATCCAGTTCACACTGCAAATAAAAATCAACATGCAGGCATTTCACAAAACACATTTATGCACTCTATGCTTTGGCCTGTAAATATAATACAAACAAGTGCAGTAGTCTAACATCAAACCTACTATTAACCCAAACTAAAGCTCTAACCACAAGAAAGTGGTCTCTTGAATGAAGTCTTCTTGGATATGTATAGGATTTGTTAACTGGAATTCATGCTTATGTGCATACGTATTGAAAAGGATTAAACTATGAACTGCCATGATGCCACTCCCTTAACAGTGGCCCCACAGTCCTTCAGCCTTAGGATAAGCCCTTTCAGGTGACTGTAAATCATCAAGAGGCAGTTACCAGCAAAGTCAGCCTCAACAGCCACGATGACTGGACGTTTTGATGAAGAAAAAAAGGAAAAGGAAATGTAATCCCTTTAAAATTTGGAGGGGGAGAGAGGATGAACAAGAATTCACATGAAGTCAGCACAATACTTCCTTGGATATATTAGTATCCCAGATGGCAGATGCCAGTCAGAGGGCTCTGATCTTTTCCCAGTATTAGAGAAGCTGATCTGTACCTACCCTTTACACAGCATTAAAAACAACAAGAATCATAATAAAAGAGAGGGGAAAATGACCTTACTGTTCACAGTAGCTGTGTTACAGTGCTGAGGTCAGCTACCTTGCTTGAGTTGTCCTTGGCAGTTGTGTCAGTGCCAGCCATGCAGGCTAAAGCAGCCACCCATGAG